GGGGGAGGGACAGCGAAAGACAGAGAGGGAGACAGATACAGAAAGAGGGAAATAGATAGAGAAATGGGCAGATGAAGAGAGGAGGAAGAAGAGAAAGAAATGGAAATCTGGAAAAAAATAAAAAATATGACAAAGAGAGCAAGAGTGTGTTGACACAGGGAGAGAGAAGGGACAGGGAGAGAGGGAGATGCAAGCAGAAAGAGATGTAGGCATAAAGGAGGGAGAGAGAAGGACAGTATAGAGAGGCAAACATACAGAGGGAGAGAATCAAAGAGAGAGAAAAAAGGCAGAGCAGGAGAATAGGAGAAAGATATACAAAGAGAAAGTGATGGAAAAAGGCAAACAGAGAAAGACAGATGGGGGAGGATGGCAGTGACAAACACAGATAAAGAGAGAAAAGCAGGTAGGGAGACAAGGCAGAGAGTAAAAAATATGCCAGAAATGCTAACAAATATAACAATACATCAAAGAAAAAAAGTTACCAGCCTTATGCTGAAACCCCACCCACTCTCCCAACCATAACACAACTGCATGTGTACTGGACACAACAACTAAGGAAAAGCACATGGGCATTCACAGCACGCTCAGCGGGCAGAATAGTCAAAGAAGCCAACAGCGCCTTCTCCATGATAACCAGCAGCATGACGATGGAGGTGATGGCAGTGACGCAAGCATTTGCCTGGCTCGAAACACAAAAATACACCCGCGTATGTATACTCAGAGTATGATCTGGAGGGTTCAGGCAGGTTCCGTGCGAAGACAATGGCTTGAATCATTACAGAAGTCCACTGTGCGTGGAGTCACCTTTATTTTTGTTCTGGGACATGCAGGCGTCGATGGAAATGAAAGAGCTGACAGGTAGGCTGGATCCGCTATCACTACCGATGGTCAGCCTACAGATCATGCTGATATTATTAATGCCCTCAGAGAAATGGGAAGACTTTGGTGGCAGTGAATCCACATCACTCCCCAGAATGGCAGACTTGGGAATTAGGATCGGCATAGCAAAAAACGAGACGCACACCAGTCACGCCAGAAGACTTGTTAATCAACATAGAACTGGTACTATTAGCCATCGGACGTTGGGGTTCATACAGAGGGGAGGATCTGAGCACCTATGGACATGTCCGGAGTGCAATGATGATAACCAAACTAACTAACTAACTAAGGAAAAGACAGTTAGGGGCAGAACAGCAAATGTAGAAAAATGAGACAAAATTGGGGGGGGGGGGGGGGGGAGGAAAGAGAAGAATGAGAGAGAGGAGAGGGTGAGGAAATCTAGAGAAAAATGAGGCAGGATGGAGAGGAGACAAAGAAGAGGGGGCAGGAGGGAGAGCAAGAGAAAACAGAGCAAGGAAAGGAAAAGAAGAATGATGGAGAGATAAAGGAGAAGAGAGGGGTAGAAGAATGGAAGATCAAAGGAAAGAGAAGGGTTATGGCTTGGGGGGGGGGGGGGGGGGGGCGGCAAGTAAGAACACTGAGTGCCAAAAATACAATTGGGAAATCTAAATGTGGTCACTTTTGGTTTTTCCAGGTTTCAAGGGCCAATATGAGACTTGTATAAATAATTCAGAGGTTGAAACCTAAGACCACTGAGCAGACGGGTAAGAAGGATGGCCCTGTGACTGTCAAGATGCTAAAACATTGATTTCTGATGTTTAATCATCATTTCGTCAAAGGTGATTTTTTTTCCACACAAAGAAAAGTAATCTCTAAATACAAACCGAGCAAAGAATTAACTGCTTTCTTTCCTGTGAGCACGAAAAATATGTTTTGTTGACCAAACCAAGTGGAGAAAATTATGTCAATATGAGGTTCATTGTTCATTTAAAGATAATTTTCATTGCACATCAGACACGACCACAAGTGCTCTGACCTCCTCCTGAGTATGACTACAAGTGTTTTTAGGCTGACATATCTCACTCTTTTCTGGCTGATGTAACAACGGGTGGCTCCTGCATGGTTTTCCTGTTTCATTGTCATTTTCCATGAAATTTAAAGCCTCAAAGCATTTAGTCTCTCGTATGGCATTCTTTATGTCTGTCCTGTCCATAGATGGCCCATTCCTAATAGTTACAGTGCCAGCCAGGGCATCTGGTCTTTCATTGTCTTTCACAACAGCATGACCTGGGATAAAAATGAAGGTGATTTTGCAAAATGTTGCACGCTGTATCAAATGGAGCCACTCTTTCTGCATATGCCCTTCAGTAGCATGCTCACTGAGAAAGCATGCATTGTTAAATTCATGAGTTTTCAGCCAGTCTAGCGCCTTTGTCACAGCCATAACCTCCACAGTCATGCTGCTGGTGATAAAAGCAAAGGCTTGACTATTTTCTTTGATGACTTTTCCCTAAGTTCTTGCCATTAAAACCCATGCACTTCACTTCTGATGAATCATAGAACCATCTGTATATATAGCAGCATCTTTCAATGATGTATATTCCTCCACAAATGCTTTCACTTCTGTATCAACTATAGGAGGCGCCAAATCACTGCACTGTCTTTTTAGAGTGATAACTACCACAAAGTACTGCCTGTATTTGTTTGGGATAGGTATCCATTCCTCTCCGCAGTTTATGTTTTGAAGGGAAATCACCCAATGATGTACTGTCTCTGCATGGCCCAACCAAGACTGGCTTCGTTTAAGTCTGCTGCTTTTATGCATATTCAGTTCCCAGAGCAATGGGTATGTAAAGACCTCAGTGATTTTGAAGTAGGCTAACACTTGGCGCATTTCATGCCTGCTGTTTATATCTGGAAAATCAAGTAGGTATCTCACTGCTCTACATGATGTGTCTTTGGTGCAGCCAAGTATGATGCGCGCTGCTTCATTTTGTACCTTTTCCAGTCTGTCGATTCTAACTTCCTGAGGGTGAGGATTGCCAATGTATATTCTATGACAGAGAGGATCAAACCCTGACAGAGGATGGCTAGCCTTGGTGACCACACACGGCAGCCATAACTTGCATTGTAGCCAACCCTTTTCTGGCCTTGTTGATCAACTTGCAATCTGCAGCTAAGGCCTTGATCAAAACTCACTTCCATGTATTTTAAAAGTTCAGTCCTTGCAGTCTCTTCACCATTTATTTGAACAAAGGGTGTTATTGTGGGTACTATGTGACTGTTCAAAGAAAACCAAGTTGCAGTGCTCCGTAGGTTTGACACCAATCTGCTATGTGTCCCAGTTCCTTTTGGAGTTCTACAATTCTGCCCCTGTTCTTCCTGGGCAGTACACTAGTATGTCACTAGTGTATGGGATGGTTTTTCCTTCACCTGTGATTTGAAATTTTGTCACCTCATTGTTTTCTCTTTCATAGTCTGTATGAAGCATTTTTCCACTTCCATATTCCACAATGGAGGTTTTGATCTAGGCTTTTTGTATCAGATGAGTCTGGCAGCTTTTATTTCTGATTCTGCAAGTGAATTCGATGCCATTATTGTCATAAATAATGTCTATTTGCAGAAGTAGGGTTAGTAGTTTGCATTTCATTATCAGCACTACATATGGAAGGTGGTCATTGCCATGGTAGCCAAGGACATCCCATTAGTATATGGAGGCCAGAGTTGGGGTAACAAGAGCTAAGTCAATAATATTATCTGTTTCACCAGGATGTAGGGCTAGATGAGTAGTTCTTCCATCATTTAGACCAGTGGTTCTCAACCTTTGGCTGCGATCTAATGGGTCTAATGATCCTTTCACAAGGGTCGCCTAAGACCATCGGAAAACACATATTCACTGGAGTTTTGAAGTAGCAATGAAAATAATTTTATGGTTAGAGGTCACCACTACATGAGGAACTGTATTAAAGGGTGGCAGCATTAGGAAGGTTGAAAACCACTTATTTAGACTTAGAATGTCAGCATGTACCAGTGCCTCTTCTAGGTCCTCACCTTATGGATTAGAGCAGATGTTTCCCCACTGTCTTCCTCTGGCATTGAAATCACCACAGAATATCACCAGGCCCATGCTTTGGATAATTTCATTTAGGAAATGCCATGACTACGTACATCATACTTTGGTTGCAGACAAATGCATTAAGTATGAGGTTATTATGTCATAGTGGCATTTTTTTTAAAGCCATTTCTTTCATCACAAATAACATCTCACAATTTGTGTTTGGTAAATATAATCATATCCGCATCTTCAGCAGCCAGCACAGAATTCCAATTCTGATGGTACCTGAGTGCTGAGTGTAAGTCAGATTCCCTGGTTATTGCCCGCTGCATTATTATCTTCAAACCGTGATTATTTACTTGCACCTCCACAATGTTCAGTCGCTCCCAAAGGGTCCTGACAACACTTGGCTTGTCATGCATTAGTTTATTAACAAGTGGTGCAAAACCAGCCAGTCTGTTTGTGTGTTCAGTTCTAAACACACTGCATTCCCTGGAGAAAATATCCAAAGGATGCTAATTGTCCAGGACCTTTAAAGCGATGCTTGCCACTCTGCACACCTGTCTCCACTCTTCTCAGCATGCTGTGTGACAGCTACAATCACAACAAATACATCTGGTTCTCAAGCCAGCAGAAGGCTGAGATAGCCAACCCAAAGCCTCAACAGGCTATACCCCCTGTGCGGGTTCCGGGGAATCAATTCTGGAGAGGGGAAAAAAAATAGACCAACTGCCTCCTTATCAAGCATGTCGTACAAGGAGACTTAATTATGGGAGTTTCCTTTGAAGTTGAGTGCATCTGCCTGACAGGCGAGAAACAAACAGTCTGCATACAAATAAGCCAGATATGTAAAAGGGACGTGCCTGCAAAACTCAAAATTCTAGAATAAGACCTAAGTCTAAAAATGGATGAGCAACCTGAACTTTCAGGTTTACAGCTGGTAAACACTAAAAAGAAGTTAGTCTGTACTTGTGAACACTATTCAATAAATGTTTATCACCCCTACAATCAATCTGTGACAAATGTACTATTTCAAGGAAAAATGTAATAATTACAAACAGTTACATAACAAACTATATGTCAAAACACAATAAGTGAACTTTACATTTTCTTTCTCATCTTTCCGCTTGTTAAGCTCTTCAACCACCATGTCATATTCATTTTGTATGGCATCTCTCCGTCTTAAAACAGTCTAGCAAAAAATAAACATATAGATTTGAATAAATATTTTCAACAAATGCCTTGTCAAAACAATTTTTAAACAACAATTATACAAAAATGTGGCTACCATTACCAGCACAACTGTACTATACATATGAATTTGTGTAAAGTGCATAAAGAATGTTGAAGTTGATGAGCTCAAAGATGCTAAAGTCTACATTGAACTGATCACTACAGAAGTTGTTTGTTGCTAACAATTTGGTTTCTCCTGTATAAATGTCCATGACAACATCTACATGTTGAACCTCTCTTGAGAAAGTATAGCTAAGAGGGCTGACCAAGTGCCCAGTTGTACACCTACGTTGGAGCTGAAACTTCTTTTAGTATTGCCTAACATAAGAAAAGAGAATAGATAACTGCTGTTCAGTACTATTGCATAACTGTTTTTTATTGATCCACCAGTGCCTGGGTACAGATTTGTATACTTCTCTTTCAGTGTCTTAAGTGGTCTGTTCATCTATTTAACCAAATGTCTCTGTCAACAGTTTTTTGCTGATTGGTTGTTTTAAAACAAATGAATAATTTCAAGCATGATATAGATGATGTTCAAACAAAATAAGAAAGACATTTTCCTTAAATGTAACTTCCTCATCAGCAGTTGATCATTTTCAAAAGAAACAAACAACAACAAAAATTGTATGAATCTAGTTATGCAGCATTAATAGTTTTTCAACAACACCAGCAAACAAATCAAGTAAACATTTTAAGAATATGCATTTCTCCTGTGGCAACAGAACATGCGGGTGTGAGTCAAAGACCATTCTGCAACCACTAAAACAGATCCAAGATTTTAAGCTTCACATGTTATAAAAACATTCTCAGAATAAGACACTTTCTGACAAGACAGGGGAGCAGTAGTCAGCAATGGAGCCGCTACATGATTATTGATACGGACAACACACAATAGTAATGATAAAAATGATATCAACTATTTAACCTGAATAGGTGATTAAAAAGAGAAATAAAAACATCAGATTCAAAATGTCAGTCAGAAGTAACAGATGGAGAGATTGCAAACAGTAATAATTTATTTTATTAAAATACTAATAATATAAACTGATATCACTGATTTTATTATAAGCCCAACAGACAAATTTGAAATTAAAAACAGGTTTTCGATAGATAGGGGATGTATTTTGTCACCTCTCCTATTTTTACTGACAATAGACTGCATTCTGAAGACAGCAACTGCAAACACCAAGAATGGAATTCAGTGGACCCCCACAAAACCAGCTTGATCTGGACTTTGCTGAGGATAGTTCTTTTCTGTCCCACTCACAGAATCAGATCGAAGACAAATTAAATATACTTGATGCGAGATCTTGAAATGGCTGGGGCATATTAAGAGACTTCAGATGACAGAGAGGTAAAAACTGTATGCACTAGGGAGATGAATAGTCATAGACAACAAGGCAGACTAAGAAGACGAATGGAGAGATAATGTCCAGAGAGACCTGCAAACACTTGGTGTCACCACCTGGAAAGAGAATGCTAACCAGAGAGATGAGTGGGGATGGGTGATATCTGCAGCATTGAACCTCAAGGGCTCTGAATGCTGAAGAAGAGGAAGATGCCAGATCACAACCCCTAGCTAGGTCTGAAAATCCATAAAAGAAAGACAAAGATAATGTGAATAAATCAGGCAAACAGTAATGTGGTTTCTCTTAATGAATCCCACTCCAAGTTGTACACCTATTTGGGCAGTGGTGTATATAAAGATGGGAAAAGAGACAGAGATATTAAAATATGAATACAAAAGGCAAGAGAAACTTTCATAGCACTTGGGAATTTGAAGAAGTCAAAAGAAATTAAAACTAATACTAAACTTAACATTTTCAATTCTAATGTTAATTCAGTACTGTTGTATGGAGCAAAAACAGGGAGAACAACTAAGGCAATTATTAATAAACTAAACATTCATTAACTAGTGCCTGCATACAGGCAATTAAATGGTATGATAGAATCACTAATGTAGAGCTTTGGGAGAGATATAAACAAGTTCCAGTAGACCAAGAGGTAAAGAAGAGATGTAGTGTTGGATAGGACACACATTAAGAAAACCTGAGAACAATATAACTATAATGTCTTTGCACTGGAACCCACAGTGGCACAGAAATAAAGGAAGACCAAAAACACATGGAGAAGAGAGCAACAGAAAGAATGTATTTAAAAAGACGAAAATGGTGAAAATATGGGGGTGACTGCAGTCAAGCTAATACAATGAATTCAAGAGAAATTTGACTAAAAAGCTCAACAAAATGGGAAAGAGGAAAACGTGCACAAAACAACACAACGTAACGTTTCGGCCGGGCAGCCTTTTTCAAACACAAGTGAAATACACAAACGAGGAATGGAGAGTATGTAGATCTCTAAGGGGTGACGTGAGCGACGTTTAAAAAATGTGATGCGGAATAAATGAAATAAAATAAAATAAACGATGGCTAAAAAATATAGTCACAATACTGGGAATACAAGAAATGCAAGTGTTAATGATACATAAATAATATTGATAAGAAATATAATATGGTAATAATATAAAATAAAATAATTAACATTAAAAATGTGATAAGATTAGAACTATTTAGATGAAGGTATGTTGGATATTGATACCTCTTGGACTAAGAACGCCAAGGCTGTGGATAAGGCGATTTTCCAAAGCGAGGCGGGTAGTATGATCGCCAGAGCAAGATTTTAATGCAAGATTTTTTCGACAAAAAGACACTCAAACCAATCCCTCTTCATTTCAATAGCCCTGACCACAGCGGTAAAGATGACATATCTGTCACAGCATTAAAATCTTGCTCTGGCGATCATACTACCCGCCTCGCTTTGGAAAATCGCCTTATCCACAGCCTTGGCGTTCTTAGTCCAAGAGGTATCAATATCCAACATACCTTCATCTAAATAGTTCTAATCTTATCACATTTTTAATGTTAATTATTTTATTTTATATTATTACCATATTATATTTCTTATCAATATTATTTATGTATCATTAACACTTGCATTTCTTGTATTCCCAGTATTGTGACTATATTTTTTAGCCATCGTTTATTTTATTTTATTTCATTTATTCCGCATCACATTTTTTAAACGTCGCTCACGTCACCCCTTAGAGATCTACATACTCTCCATTCCTCGTTTGTGTATTTCACTTGTGTTTGAAAAAGGCTGCCCGGCCGAAACGTTACGTTGTGTTGTTTTGTGCACGTTTTCCTCTTTCCCATTTTGTTGAGCTTTTTAGTCAAATTTCTCTTGAATTCATTTTAAAAAGACGAGGAGGACATGTGGACAGCTGCAGGCGATAGCGATGGATTGAACAACTTGGCATCAGTTGGTTGGGGGCCTATGCTCCATTGGGGGTTAGAAAGGCAGAAGAAGAAATACTTCTCCAGAGACAGCTGAAAGGTGTGCTCCAAAACAAGATGACATATTCATCTTTACTGACAATTTGTTGAGATTTTGTCTCAGCAACAAGTGAAGCTACTGAACCCACAATCTAAACAGGCCATCTTATACAAGAAAACAAAAGAGATAACTATAGTGTCACACATCTATATAATGACAGCTATTTTGGTTACCTTGATGCATTCTGCATAAAGCAGATATTCTTTAAGTGGCTGAGCAAAGCGTGTGTCAGTGTCATCAATCTGTTTTAAAAATAATGTTGTACAGCTTTCAAGGAAACAACACAACGTTAGTAACTATGATTTTTCAAAACAATAAACTTGAAAGAAATCGGTACTAAATTATAAACTTCTTTCTTTTTCTTTGGTTTTCCTTGTTACACTGTTTGGTGTGAGATTAGAAAAAGCCTTCTGCAGCAGTGTTAGCTATCCTTACTTTCTGATGTTATTATTTCTAATCTTGTCTCTCTTATTATCATAGTACTGCAGGCAAACAGTCACTGCTGCTTCAAAGATATCTGCATCTTTTATTACTCTGGCACTGTTAGCATAATGACAGAAAGATTGTTGTGAAGAATGTTTCTTTTGTGTCTGCTGACATGTATCTATTCTGTAGTATTTGTAATATATTACAACCTGTTTTTCTTGTCGCATCTGTGTTGTTTCAGCACTAATTTTTCAATCAGACTAAATCAACCTTTTGTTTGTCTGACCTCAACAAATAAAAGTTGACTTTGACGTTCATCAACATTTAATTCTACTATATTTGTAAAATGAGTACCATACGTATATTTAATCAACAACAAAGAAGACAGCATATATTTTTGTCTGAATATGGATCTGACCTCAAACCTTTGACAGTCCTATATTTAAAGACTGCCTATATCTAATCCCGCTATGTAATATTTTTTTCCTGTGTGGTCTCGAGGTATGGCACGCAAAAAATCCCTTGGCAGTTGAAAATCGTAAAGAGCAGCCTAACAGCACTGCCAGGGCAAAATTTGGAGTTAAAAATCTACCCAAAGTATTTCAGGATCCTTGCCGGTGCAACTGTGCACTGAAATTCTTCAGACTCAGGTTTGAGTTAGAAGTAGAACGAAGCACTCATAGGTTTAAACCTGTGTGCCATGATGTTGATTCATCTACTAAACTAAACTAATGCGCAGAAATTCTACTATTTCCCTGTGGAATATACAAACTCAAAGCACCTAGGTATAGATTGGCTTCTAAATGTGTCCAGTTTGTCCTTAATGCATGCTTTAACTGTTGGTTATAATAAATGTACACATTCTACTGTAAGCAGTAATCAAACAAGGATCCTGCGACAGTGTTAAGTGTGAATGAAAGATGTTTGTTGACAAGTATAATTTTCTGAAAGCAATTGCCAGTTTTTATTTTTGTAATTATAGTGAAGACATGACCATATATCATATCAAGAAGTAGGTGTATCTGATGTGATCAGCAGCATGCCTGCAGCCTCACTTTGCTGACCAACAATCTGGAGGATTACTGTCTCCCATTACCAAGGGTGTTTGAAGATTTTTGTAAAAATTACTTCTTTTCTAATTAAATTCATAAAAAAATTTTTTTAAGGCGTAGGGTTTTGAAACTTTCAGAGACCCATTAGGAATGGTTGCTAAACATGAAAACAAATATGTTATGCAAATATGTCACATGATCATGGTGGCCATCTTTGATTTATTTGGCTATTTATAGAAATTTCAGGAGATGTTTGAAAACCATCATCTTTTCCAAGTTTTAAGTGAATTTGTTCAACTTCAATGCAATAAAATGTTGGGGACATGGTTGGCAATGAATGAAATAAGCTTTGTATGAGTACTTTTTTAACGATTACTTTGCTGATCAACAATCCGAAGCATTACTGTCTCCCATTACCAAGCGTGTTTTACGATTTGTTTTTTAAAACAACTGCTTTTCTAATAAAATTCATTAAAAAATTTTTTAAAGGCGCATGCTATTGAAACTTTTGAAGGCCCATTAGGAATGGTTGCAACACATTTAAAAAAAATTTGTTATGCAAATATGTCACATGATCATGGCGGCCATCTTGGATTTGTTTTGCTATTTATAGAAATTTCAGGAGATATTTGAAAACCATAATCTTTTCCAAGTTTTAAGTGAATTTGTTCAACTTCAATGCAATAAAATGTTGGGGACATGGTTGGCAATGAATGAAATAAGCTTTGTACGAGTACTTTTTTAACGATAACTTTGCTGACCAACAATCCGAAGCATTACTATCTCCCATTACCAAGGGTGTTTTACGATGTTTTTTAAAACGACTGCTTTTCAAATTAAATTCATAAAAAATTTTTTTAAAGGTGTAGGCTATTGAAACTTTTAGAGGCCCATAAGGAATGGTTTCTACACACCCAAAAAAAAAAAATAATTATGCAAATATGTCAAATGATCATGGCGGCCATCTGGGATTTGTTGGGCTATTTATAGAAATTTGAGGAGATGTTTTAAAACCATCATCTTTTTTCACTTTTTAGTGAATTAGTTTAACTTCAATGCAATAAAATGTTGGGGACATGGTTGGCAATGAATAAAATTAGTTTTGTATGAGTACTTTTTAAATGATTAACCAGATATTTCAACATTAAAATGAAACAAAAATTGAAAAAATGAAAAAAAAATTGTATGTTTTCTTTCTTGATTGTATTGTGTTTATGTGGCATGTTACAATGAGGATTTGTGAATGTTTGATTACAAAAACACTTCTAACCTCTAGCTAAAGTCTGAGCTACTTCATTCATTCACTGAAGTTGAAGCTGTAGCTGTAGAACTCTGCAAGAGTCTTTGTCGGGAACGTTGATAATCCTCAACTGTATGGTATAGCTTGAAACAGGGTGTCAAGCATAGAGGTGTATTGCAATCTGGGCAGTACATGCAAGTCTGGCTCCTTTTACCTGCAGCCTTACACACTTTACAGTCTGGTTTGTACTTTGGCTTTTCATATCTTTCAATAAAATGGCGTTCGGTAAGTCGTGATGTTGTGACTTGTGGTCTAGAAGGTATTACGTTGTGCCGAAGAACAGCAGGTCCGATAAGAGCAAGACTGACATCCTGCCTGAACTTCTTAGCTGTTATCTTATTTGTAGAGTTGACAGTGTTGTAGCTTATATGCCCATTGACAAGAGCAGTCTCAACTAAAAAATGATACAATGGCAGGTACCATTTATAGGATCTGTGTGGGTATGGGTAGTTTGCAGCAAGTTGGCCGAAGTGATCGACACCACCCATACTTTTGTTATATTTTTCAGCCAGAACAGGCTTGTTGATAATTCTGCCCTCAGGAGCTCCCCCCTTTTTCTAACTGTCTTATCCATGACATCATTGGAGTGAACAGTAGAAATTAGGTTAACTCTCTTGGTATCGTGCCAGGTAACGGCCAACATGCTTTTATCTTCTGTTACACAAAACACAGGATTATCTGCTTTTTTCAGTTTTAGCTGCTTTTTCTTTAACATCTCAGGAAAATGCTTCCTTCTTTCAGACACTGTGCCACATGCACCAATCTGCATTTCTTTTAGCTCTTGAAATAAAGCTGGGCTTGAATAAAAACTGTCACAGTACAGAATATGACCTTTAAATTCGTATCCATCAAGAAGGCGTTTTACTAGTGTTGAAGTCGTCCCGACACAACCTTCATTATTTGCCTTACCAGTATAAATCTCTAGTTTTAAACAATACTGAGATTTAGCATCGGTAAGCACAAATAACTTAAATCCCCACTTGGTAGGCTTTGCTGGCAGGTACTGCTTGAAATATATTCTGCCTTTGAACCGCACCATTGATTCATCTATGGATAACTCACATCCAGGTGTGTAGTTTTCCCTGTATGTAGGCAATATGATGTCAAGTAGGGGCCTGAGTTTGAACAAGGGATCATACCCAGGCTGTCCTCTTTCATTTCTGACATCATTATTGTTGAAATGCAGATTTCTGTGAAGCAGCTGGTATCTGTTTCGACTCATGGCCCTCGAATATGCTGTTTCATTCAGCCAAAAATTCTTAGACCAGTAGTCTGAAACTGCTGGTTTACAGCACATTCCCATACCAATATGAAGGCCTATAAATGCAGAAATTTCAACTGCATCAGTGTTATCCCAAGTGAGTTTTTTGTACTTGGCACTTCCAGTGTACTGGGACAGGTGATTTTCACCATACCTGTTGACTTCACGTGTGATCAAATCTATGGCAGTGTCAGGGAAAAAAATTTTGAAAAAATTAATCGGCAAAAATCCAGTTGTGTCTGACATAACACCTTGTTGTTCTTGGTATGGAGGAAGATTGTCAATCTCAACAAGTTCATTTTCAGCAGCCTTTCTCCATTTCCAAACGACATTTTCAGCTGTAGAAATATTTTGGTCTCTCCTGCCACGCCCACTTCTATCAACAGAAGTGCCTACATCACCTGCCTCATCAAGTCCATCATCGCTGTCGCTACTTTCAGTTGCGATATTGTCCACTGGTGCATCTCTACTAAGCCAGGAATCATCGCTTTCAGCACCATAATCACTTGCAGAGTCAGAATCGTCTCTGTTACAGGTCTGGGTTTCATCATCAGACATGATGAAAAGGCTGTATACGCACTTGACACAAAAATTAACAAAATTTCACTGAAAAAAACGCTTGTAATGACTCTAATCGATATGAATCGAAAGGACGGCCATCTTGGAACAATTAGAATACCCGGATGCAGTTTAATTCAAAAACTATCGGTAGGGACGTCGGTCGGCAGACTACAAGTCGCGAATTCGTCGATCGTCGAAGTTGGTCACCAGGGGATATGGCCGGAAATTCGTCGATCGTCGAAGTTGGTCAGCAAAGGATTAATTCTCAGAACCTTTCCTGGTGCCTGTTTTAGGCTGAGTCAGTCTGGGAACTAAACATCAGTTTTATCAAATATCTTCACCTTTGGGGATTCGAACACAGAATCATCAGACAAGCAGGCCACTGTGCGCTACTGGGACAACAGTGAATCTGTAAGTCAAGCAAATCACCTGGACAGAACTGATAATATCCAAAACAAACATGCTAGGATTCATACACATACAGACACTTGACTAGCTTATAACAGTTCCATAACCTGAAGCAATAATTGATGGAAAGTGTGCAGTCATCACCATACTGACCAGGTCTCTGACAGCTTTGACACATTCATCAACTGCCTTTGACATAGTAAGTAATGCTCCTGTTAACTGATCTTCTGAGTTAGCCCACAGTGTATAGCACGGTCCCCATTCTGTCAACTCTATCATATAATCTGAGCAGGGGATGAAAGGAAACAAGTGTTACCATACTAATAATAATATAAACTACTTCAGAAACATATCTTGTAAGTAACAAATAAAACAGGGGCAAGAGTGTCTATAGTTTGTGCAGAATTGTTCTCTCACACTGTGCATGTTTCATACGCTGTTGAAGTTCAATGACCAGTTTTCTACTGCACTACTGATTAACAAGCAAGGTTTACAAATGTTATGAGAAGGAAAGAAAAAGCAAAGCATTAAATTTTGTAACAATTACCCAGCAAAAATACTGACTCTCTTTATATCGCGACATTAATAATTAACATCTAAAAATGTTAGCCTATTCTCCTTCAAAGATTAAATAAAGAAAGATCAAATAGAAAGCAAAGCAGAAGGAATACTCTTATTTGTTCCCAAAAAATGTAAGGTCATACATTATAATATATAATAATTAGAGGAAGAGCACATCTTCACCCTATGCAGCATCTTAGAACAATACAATGAATGGCAAAGAAGTATATATATTAATTTTGTGGATTCTGAGAAAGCTTTTGACAGCATCCATAGAGACGGTCTGTGGAAAATATGACATTATGGAATCCCAGAAAAGATAGTAAACATAATTAGTCTCTTCTATAAAGATTTTTCTTGCAGCATTAAAAATTACAACACATCTTTCCAAGTAAAGACAGGGATGTGTTATGTCAATCTCCTTTTTACACCCGTGACTGATTGGATACTAAAGAACACAGTAGACAAGACATTAAGAGGCATACGATGGACTCCATTCACCATGCTCGAGGACCTTGATTTTGCAGATGATATAGCACTCCTATCACATAAACATGAACATATACAAGAGAAAAGTAACAGACCACACATCACAGCAGAAACGGTGGGACTGAGAATAAATACAAGGAAAACTAAGATCATGACAAACAGTCCAAACCAACAACAAGTCACCATAAACAACCAAACACTTGAAAATGTAGAACAGTTTACATATTTTGGCAGAGTTGTGTCCCTATTAGGAGGGACAGAGGAAGACAAATAAATCACACTTGAACAAAGCTAGATCCTTTTGGAAGGGTGAGGCAAATTTGAAAATCCAACAGTTACTGCAGAGGAACAAAACTCTGACTCTACAAGAGCATAATTTTGCCAGTTCTTCTTTATGGAGCAGAATGCTTGAGAATGACCAAACAGGATGCGCACAAGTTATCCACCTTCCACCACACATGTCTACGTAGAATTATCAACATTTTCTGGCCAGATCCAATCTCAAACACTAAACTTCTTCAAATCACAAATCAAGAAACTTTAGAAAGTATGATAACCAAGAGAAGATGGAAATAGTATTTTTGACCTCTACATGTTTGCAGTTTTCTGTTAACTGATATGATATTATTAAAATAGCCACCAATGTTCTGAATTAAGATTTTCAAATGTATATTATCTGTTTGCATGAATAATAATAAGGCTAACAAAGTATGTATGTATGTATGTGCACGTAACAGAAATTTTAAAAAATATATACGTTGTTGTTTTTTCTCTGAATTGTAACTCTTCGCTTGCTGCTGAAGATGGGAATGGTATGCTTATGGGGGTGTCCTGAGTGCTGTGATGTCGACATTCAACAACACAAGGGTTGGGGACGTCTAGCAAAACTAAATTAAAGGCAATAAGACGTCAATGTTGCTTTTGGGATGTGAACTATCAGGTCTTCACATGCTCTAACACACAACATAATGAGGCAGATTGACCAGGTGCTTTTTTAGCTATCGTTCTTTCCCAAACTATTCCCAGCAAATTCTTAACACTGTCCAGTATCAATGCCAGATCAATTCATCTGGCATGTGACGCTTTTAACACCAAAACACAAAAGTTCAAGGGGGTGCCAACAAGAAACGTTCTTAGACCAGCAGCATGGGATGCTGCAGTAGAAATGAATACTAATGTGGAACTAGGAGAACACTCAAATTAAGTAAGAGATATAAACCTCAGATACCACCATGAGAATGGGAAACCACCATAAGTAGACATGAGCCTGGCAAAACAGATTTCACAAAACGGTGATCCACTACAAGGACCCTAGCAGAGGAGCAGGTCAGAATCATTGAAACTGATAACCTGATAATATACGCGGATGGACAAACCCCACTCCCCCCCCCCCCCCCCCTTGAAACTAACAATGATGACAGATTCTCCTTCATCTGTACAATCACTAGAAAACTATACACAGGGAAGTAGATCAGACATAAAAGAGGAGGCATTAACACTAATCACACAACTTAGGAACAATGGGTGCCAGATCACCATAGCATGAGTTCCAGCGCATTAAGGCATAGTTGGTAGCGAAAAGGCGCATATTTTTGCAAAAAGAGGTACCAGCAGCCATAATGTAACAGAAACAGGCCTTGGAAAATTTGAAGGGAAGAGTAAAATCAAACGATATATAACAGGAATGTGGAAGAGACAGTGGGAAATGAGTGCTACTGGCAGAATGGTGAGCAAATATTTGAAAGAACCCACCCTGACATCACAACCTAAAAATTTCAGTAAATAACAAATTATGAAGATTAAAACTTGGATACAGGAAAGCCAAATTTACAGCACCCTTATGCTTAGACTGCTTTCAGGAAAGCACAAAACACTACTTCCTGCTAACATGCACCTTAAATAAACAGGAAAGAAAACCCCTGGTTGATTATTTTCATAAACTAAATAAGTCTTTGACATCCAAGGAATGCTCACATGTTGACAGCAATGAGAAAATACAGAAACAAATAAAGAAATTCATATGCAGGGCAAGCAAAAATATGTCTTAATAGATAAAGATATGATAAGACAGAGGCGGTGAGGTGAGAAAAAGGAATGAGGAAGGAGAAAGAATTAAATTGTGTGAAAAAAGTAGGCTGAACGTGGTTGATTTTTTTGTTTTGGACAAATCAATTCTGGTCACAAAAATAATCCTACACTTATGGAGATTGAATCCAGACAAGAAGCTTGAGCAGTAAGTTCACTAACCACTATACCCCCACATCTAAGAAGTCTATTTTATAATCCAAGGCAGTTTGCGTCTTTTTTCCCTAATCTGCACTTGTTAATGTTATCACAACTGATGTCACTGCAGACAGCATACGATAAAATGTCGAGGATATGATTCACACTCCAACTGTTGTACTCAACTTACTTACAAAACTGTCAGGAAAACTTAATGAAATGTTGCCGCCATATAAACACATTTATTGTCACAATTTCAAGCGGGTATAGACAAATCCGTACATATAATAATGCAACGAAGTAACCATACATGTACAGGCTAATTATGAAGTGAATGTCCCTCACTTCACTCCCTCGAAATGACACAGCGGAGCTCTCTCGGACAGCCTACACTAACTGCCACTAAACGCTGAGCTGACCGCTACAGTGCCTAGGTCTCCAGCTTCCCCTCACTTGGGGCTTTGCTGTATGGATGAACAGTTTACACCTCCTACTCGACTTGACCTCCGTTGCTCTATAGGTAGCAGACACTGTCATTTTGGCTGACTGGAAAACTTCTGATTCTTGATCTCCTGTATGTGCCCACAGCACCTCAGCCTCGTCGAAGGAACCCTGATAACCGGCAGGACTCCAAACCTGAGTCCTCTTCAACACACAGCTCTCCCCAAACATCTCTGCTGTCTTGTTTCACTAGTGATCCTACGGCCGCACATGCGTAGTCACCCAGGACAGCTTGTTCTTGAAGTAGTCCAGCGCTCTAGGCCTAACTCGCCCAACTGGACTTCTCTTCCGCCGAATGCACTCTCGACTGTCTTCTTGTCTAGTCTCTCGTGAGTGCGTCCACCTCAAACGTTCTCAACACGTTCTAGTAGACCTCTCTCTCCCAACTGAACTCAACCCCACTTTATACACACGCCTGTCTCTTGTGAGTCTTCATGCACACAAGACACCTACTGTTATGCTTGATTCACCTTTACTAAGAACCCCATACTTTTCCATGTGATAACCACGCACTAAGTATGATAATTAGCCAGCTCTAGGCTGATAACTTCGTGAATCCACTGGTCCATCCAGCCCAAAGTCAACACCCTGTTGCAATAATACTGACTCAAGCCAAACTGACATCTCCTGGCACAAGTCAACACTGCACCAAATATTGACTCAGGTCACCGGACATTCACGTGGACTCCTGAAAACACAATTCACATGACATTGTCCCTAACAATGTTACAACCCTTCCGATTCCATAGGAATCACCACACAACACTAGGGTCCCACAAGTGGAGGAGGGGGATAATAGACCCAGCACCTCTCTAACAAGCATGTTGCAAGAGTCAACCAGAATTGTCTACCGGAGTCTACAGCCCTTAATTGCGAAATAGAAGAAGAAGAGATTAATTCTGTCTTTAAAGCATATGCAAGACAATAGTTTCTACACATGTTATAGCATATTTAAATGTGACTGTCAAGTTTCATGCTACTTAACACATGTGCCAAAGAATTTTTACAAACTAAGCATAACTGGCAACAATTGTTAGCAGTACAAAACTGTTTCCATATAAAAATTAATATAAATAGGCAATAATGATTCATACCAGTCTGTTCCTTTGCTACTCTTTGCGCAATACGATCCATCACTCCTAGTTTATCTGACAGCATCATTATATAGTCATGCATTGCTGCAAACTCTGGTGGTCTGTTTTTCATCATATAGGAAGCAGACATGTTATGAAGAGAGTCTGATACTCGGCTCAGGAAGCCTGACCCTTGCTTTTTATGAGCCTGGAACTCCTGCAGTTTTATATATATATATATATATATATATATATATATATATATATATATATATATATATATATATATATATATATATATATATATATATATATATATATATATATATATATATATATATATATATATATATATATATATATATATATATATAATAACACAATGAAAGACTTTTATTAAAGTAAGGTGTTACAGATATAAATGTTTGCCATAGCGAGAAACAATAAAAGATACTATTCTGTGACAAATAAGATAAAATAAAATACATTGTGCATCTCTGATAACATAAAACAAGAATATCACAATAAAGCATTTTCTTACCACTTCTATTGTAAGGTAAACACATGACATTAGAGAAAGAAAGGAGAAATGGCTAAAGTTAAAGTTAACAATATGAAACATCTTCGACCTGAATTAAACAACCAATAGTGATAATGTATTTTTTTTATCCTGCATGGCTGTATGGTGCAGAAATAAGAACAATTAATAAACAAAGTGAAGGTAAAGTTGTAGCTATCAAAATGAGTCTGTATAGGCGGAAATGAAGAACATTATGGTAAAAGAAGAAAACCACAACAGCAATACAAAAACTAGGATTAAAAACTGAGATCAAGGTCACATACAAGGGGAAGTCATTGAGTAAGTCACAAATGGTTAAGGGATGGCATAAAAATGTAGCTGGTGGTATCTAAATGTGTCGTTAGGTGTCAGCAACACCGAACTTAATGTCTTCGTTTGTTAGGTGGCCCTAGGTGTTGCATGTGCATTTGCAACACAGAAACAGAATGGAGACTGTACTTATGGAGTGTACCCTCAAAGAAAGTGCTGCTGTGCGTGTTTTTATTTGGGGGAGGTGGGGAGGGGGGTAAAAAGGCTCCCTGCAAAGGACCTTCATAAGGAAATGCTTCCTGTTTATGCTGACAAATGTTTATCCCGTAAAGTGGTGCATAGCTGGGTAATTTTTTTTTCTCAAGGACGCTCTAAAATTGTTGATGAAGTCCAATCTGATCCTGGTAAGATGTCAACAGACGCATCCATGCAGCAGGTGGAGGAGATGATTAGAGGTGACATCTAGGCTGGGTACTTCTGGAACATCCATCTTACAACCACGACTTAGCCCATAGAGATTTCCAACTTTTTGGTCTACTGAAAACCCACCTCTGTGGGAGACATTTCGCGAATGATGCAGAAGTTGAATGTGAAGTGGAAATGTGGTTTAGAAAGCAGAGCAAGCAGTTCTAAACAGCAAGTTTGGGAGAACTGATAAAATGGTCGGACAAGTGCATCAATGTTGGTGATAATTATGTTGAAAAATAAAGGGACAGGGTATGTGTACAAATAAATGGTTTTCAAGTTATCATCTTTAGTTTTTTTTTTAAACAACCATGTGTGACTTACTTATTGACTTCCCCTCGTAATTATGGTAATTCAGTGACATGTCTTCTTGTTAAAGAATGTTTTTGAAGAAAAAGTGGAAAATGGAGAAAAATAAAGTTGCTTTTGTGTGGACATTATTAAGAAGTAGACTGGAAGAAGGCTGCATGAATGCACCATGAAGATGTAGAAAAGGGGATATGTATTAAAGCCACTTCAATGTGCAGATGGAACCTAGGGATGATGCTGACATCACAAACATCAATCCTAAAGTAAAAACTCACCCATGCTTTTGCTGTCAGAAATATTTGGAAGCAAGTATCAAAAGACAAAACTGGGTGGTCAGCTAATCGAGTCAGGAACTTCTGTAGTGCAGCCTGGCGCACTTTTAGAAATTCAGGGCTGAAACGGTCCATTCTCTTCAAACTATGCTTCTCCGGAAGAGGCTATTTTTATGATAGTAGAATTTATGGTGAAATCACATGTGCATACACAACAACAATTTGTAGTAACACTATCACATTAAGTAGAAAATAAATATTTGAAATCTGCCCAAAAGATGTTTAGTATATTTATCCACAAAACTATATGAAATGTTATTTAAGAATACATTTAAAAAGAATGGATATTATTATGTGCAAGTAATGTAAATGTTACTGATGTAATTAAATTAAAAATGCATTTTGTAAATTAATTTCCAAGTGTTACAGGATTTGTAAAGATATTAAATGGCTTGTTCTCTACTTTTCTCTATTTGTACAATTAAACTGGTTTTTAAACACTTACTGGTACAAGATGAGTAGGGTGCTTCTCTTCAAGCCTTTGCCGAATCCACAAAAAATCATTGTAACGACGACGAACACTAAATTCGTTGCCTTCAAATTCAGGTCTTGATGTCTGAAAAAAAAGTAAAGAATTGAGAGTTGTAAATGTCAAGTTCAGAACAGGCAACAGCAAATACACCGTTAGAAAGGAAACAAAGTTTTGTTAAACTTGTCATCATCACCAAGTGCAATGAGGACTGGCTGCAATTAGTCTTAACCATCGCTGTCTTAATGGTAAACTCATACAAACTTTCTTCCATTTCTAGATGATTTTTTTTTAACCACAAATAACAGGTCTTTCTCTCGCACAGTTGTTTCTCTTTTACGTTTTCCATTTAAACAAAAACAATTACGTTGCGGGATTCGCAAGTAAAAAATTTGGAAAGAACCACTAGGGAAACTGACCGAAGAAGTCTGGACAACGAAAGGGCATGTCTTGCACGTGCTGCGTGAGCATTCTGTAGTCCCAAAAGGAAAGGCTGTGTGGATCAGTTGGAGTCGGCTTCAGACAAGTATGTCTTTAAGGTTGCGGTCTCGTCTATAAACTTTAACTTTATGCAATTATCTGCAAACGATGCAGCAAGGCATACATTGGGGAAACTGGCAGGAAGCTAGCTGATCATTTCCGGGAACACCTCTCAGATATTGACAAGAAGACATATAAACCAATCCCTCTCCATTTTAATAGCTCTGACCACAGAGGTAAAGATGATATATCTGTCACAGCATTAAAATCTTGCTCTGGCGATCATACTACGCGCCTCGCTTTGAAAATCGCCTCATCGACAGCCTAGGCGTTCTTAGTGCAGGTGGTATCAATGTACAGCATACCTTCATCTAAATAGTTCTTCTTCTTCTTCAGCGATCTCTTGTCATGCACATAATCCACTGTGGGTCATAAACTGGGATGTCTTTTCAAGTTCTCTTAGGTTTCCCCAAAGCTTAGTTGTCAGTTCTACTGGGTGTTGCCATATGTCGCTCCGCAGCTCCGCCAGGAGAGGACAGTCTTGCAGGACATGTTCTGGAGTCTGTTCAGCACGAAGACACTGGCAGAGAGCTGTTTGGCTTATACCTAATTTATATGAGTGTTTATTGAGTCTGCAGTGTCCAGTGCGTAAGCGAAAAACTGTGACTTGGTCTGTTCTGTTCAAGTACCTCAGAAAATCTTTTCTGTAATTATAACCAGTGTTGTTTTTCCAATCTGTTTCTGATTTTCTCTTAATGAGAGTTTTTACTTCTGGAAAAGAAAGTGGCTGGTAGGTCTGTAGTTTGTTACTGCCTTCCTTGGCTAAAGCATCTGCGCTTTCATTGCCTTTGATGCCGCAGTGAGACGGAATCCACTGCAAGTGAATTTCTGCCTTATTTGACAACAAAGCAAGTTCCTGTGTTAGACTTTGTAGTGTGCTGTCGGTAGGTTTGGACTCAAGGGCCTGTACAGCTGACAGTGAGTCAGTGAGAAAAACTATCCTGCCTGCGGTGATTTGCAGATTGTTCATATACTGTGCTGCCATCAATAGAGCTGAGAGTTCTGCCTTGTAGTTAGAGCAAGTTCGTCCTGTGGGGGTTGCTAGGGACGCAGTAGTGGCATCTGGGTGTTTTATGTAAACACCTGCCCCACCATTCGTAGTTGCCTCTTTTGCTGATCCATCCGTGTAGATTCTCGTCCAGCTGTCCTGTGGGAACATGTTGTTGAGGTGTTCCATTGTGAGTGCTTTCTTCACTAAAGCGGGCTCAGCATCTTTGTTTTCCAGGTTCGGGATGGATGTTGACACACTGAGTGTAAATAATTCGGAGTCCCAGAGATCGAAAGATAGCTCTTCAGGTTTACATTGTTGGTTAAGTAGTGAAGAGAATGACTTTCCAAATTCCTTCGTTAGATGGTTTAGGCTTGTGCGCTTTATTCTGTTTTTTGTCCTGGCTGCCAATTTTTCGTGTAATGGGTGGTTTAGCAATCTAAATAGTTCTACTCTTATCACTTTTTAAATGTTAATTTTTTTCTTTTCTTTCTTTTTATTTCATATTATTACTTTATTCTATTTCTTATCAGTATCATTTAAGTATCACTAACATTTGCATTTCTTTTTCTTTTTTTCAGTATTATATTATATATTAACAATACTACTGTTTATTTTTTGTGACTATATTTTTCAGCCATCGTTTATTTTATTTTATTTCATTTATTCCACATCATAATTTTGTAAACGTTGCTTACGTCATCCCTTAGAGATCCACATACTCTCCCCTCCTTGTTGTTACGTTTGTGTAGTTCACTTATGTTTGAAAAAGGCTGCCCGGCTAAATGTTATTTGTGTTGTTTTGTGCACGTTTTTCTGTTACCCCATTTTGTTAAGCTCTTTAGTCAAATTTCCCTTGAATTCCTTGTATTAGCTTGACTGCAGTCACCCCCATATTTTCACTGCTTTCTGAGCAGCTGGCTCTTGGTCATCATCATCAAGTGCCTTGCCTACAGGTATGGGTAATCATGCCTTTCCACACAGTTGCCTGTATCAGTTTGTGTGTTGACACCCCTCCATGCCATGACAAATGGTCGTGAAGAATCTTCTTGCATTGTCTTTCTCTGTCTCAAGTTCCACATATTTTTTTTAGTTACAACATGCCCCTTTTTCCCTCTTCTCACAGTATGACCAAAAAATGATTACTATCTTTTTATGATTTTTGGCTGTTGGTACTGCTGTTAAAACTAATGCAAAGCAGTCTGCTGAGAAATTGCGGCAGCTGTGATGAAACCCAGCACTACGGAATTATCAAGAGAATTATGAAGGGTGTTTGCCACAGATGCTGACTTTTCCATCAAGCATATCCTTTAACAAAAAGCTTAAGTATTTAAATTATCCAGCTGTTTTCTTTAATCAAAACATTTGTAAGGGTAAATGTAACATGAAATGTCTTGGCTTGATAAATCAAACAATTTGTTACAAAACTTTTTTTTCCCAGCAAACTTTTAGTGATTCATTTTAATATGTTGAGTGTCCAGGGTATTCGATAACTGATTTGTCTGCGCCCTGACACCATAGAACAGAAGAACCTTACACTTAAGAGCAGAATGCTCGGCAGGCACTAAAACTGCCTGGCAAACACCATGGGACTGGCACCCTTATATTATATTCTACATGATGATTTCATTTTAAGAAAAGTTATGTCAATCCTAAGGCTCATTACATCAGGAATGGACAAGCAATATTCTGGGTTTGTTTTCCTTAGCCCGTCAATTACTAGTCTACCTAATAGGTAGCAGATTTGTGTCTCACTTCATTTAGTCCATATCCCTTGACCTATTCAACATGAAAGATGCTACAAGTTGTTATGCAACTGTCAGCCTAATTCTTGGGGTCACTGGAGCATGCAAGCCTCCCCCCCCCCCCCCCCCCAACACCTCAAGGCAAAGACATAACAGAAGGCAAATCTTACATCTGCTTAAAGTGAACCTCTCGGGGCAAGATTCATCATCATAATGTATCAGGTCCTTTGCCTCACATTGCTCTCATCAGTCTGCCTGAAATAAAATTGGTCTCTCGCTGGCTTTCCTATCCAAAGTGTCACTTATATCCTGTGCCCATCAGCCCATGCCTCTTATTGCGCCGCACTTGATATGGCCAAAATATTTCAGTTTCCAAACAAAATGCTGTTTATTAGCCATCTTCCTTGATGTTCAGATCTTTTAGGATGTCAGCATTTTTCTTTTTTGTCCATGGTTTTCTAAGAAATTTTTTATAGCATGTCAGCTCAAAAACCCCTACAGTAAGAACCGTGAGAAAGTCCAAGGCTCACATCCATATGTTGCTACAGGGAAGATTCATGCTCTCAGAATTTTGACATTTATTTCCTTGCTGGTGTTTAACCATAGACTTTTACTGCTGTTTTCATTGCTATGGTTATCCTCCTTTTGACCTCTACCCATTGGTGTTTTTTATAGAGCCTAGATAATCAAAATTTGTGAAATAATCAATTTCTGTATTATTTATTGTTGTTTTGGGGCAACAGGCAGTTTTGTCTGTGGACATTATTTTCGTTTTCTTTAAATTCAAGAACAGGTTTGACTTTCACTGTGTTTTTTGGACAGACACGACTAAACATTCTATTCTCTTTGTAATGTTTGAAAGGAGGACTCATTGGACATGATTCAATACAGTATGTGTAGACTGCCATATGGTGGTCATATATTCTCCATAAATTTTAGCTTTCTTGTCACCAGGCTCAAAAACAATATCTAAAACATTTCTGACTGAGCAAAATGCGTACTGTATTCCCTAAAAATCAGTAAATCAGCGAGACAATAATTTATAAGCAAACAATAAGGCAGCAGGTGGTGATGATATTACTGCAGAAATGCTGAAGGCAGCAGATTATTCAACCATAAACAGAGTTAATAATTTTATTAATAAAATGGGAGCTCAGTAAAAAGTACCAGATCAAAGGAACAAAGGAACAATTGTTACAATTCCAAAGAAAGGTAATCTTAATAATCATAAAAACTGCTGAGGAATTACTCTGTTATCAGTAATGTCAAAGACTTTTTGTACCTATCAACACACAGACAAAAGGTAAAAACTAGAAGAAGTTGAAACCTTTAAATATCTCGGCTCCCACTTATTTAACCATTTCAACTGTACCAAAGAGATCAAGAGAAGGCTTCATATGGCAACAGCAGCTATGTCCCAGCTGAATATGATGTGGAAGAGCAAAATCAGCATTGCAGTTAAGGACAATATATACAAATCACTGGTACTATCTATTTTCTTATACGGATGTGAGAGTTGGACTCTCACTGTGGAAATGGAAAGGAGGATTCAGGCTTTCAAATGTAAATGCTAAAGATGCATTTTAAGAATTAGTTATTTAGAACAGGAAACTAACAAACATGTGAAAGATAAAATATACAAATTTCCAGTGGTTAAACATAGCAAGTTAGCCTGTTTTGGGCACGTGGTGAGGCATGATCTGACTGCAAAGACTGTACTTCAAGGAACACTAGGGGCAGTCAAAGAAGAGGAGGGCAAAGAAGAACCTGGCATGATTACATCAAGAAATGGACAGGACTAAGTTTTCATACATATTCAATAAGCGGAAGGCAGAGAAAGATGGCGGGTTTTATGTGCTAGTGCTTCCATTGATACACCTTCACGACCCTGACGGGTCAAGGGTTATGTTATGTTACTGAACTGACTGCATCGGATAGAATGAAATGGACGAATAAATTGTGAGCCCTATGTGACATATAATTGCACAAACAGAACATTAAATGAATTCCTTTAAACAAGTTTACTGATCTTTTTTGTGTACCTAATAGTATTAGCCAATACATAAAAATTGCAGAGCCAGAATTAATCCTACTATGCTAACAACAATAATAAAATAAATAATTATTTCCTTACCTTGGTAGTGATTCTAAATGTAACGTAGGCTTCTAGTGTACTAGTATGTTTTTCTGGATCATCAACTATAATAAAAAGGTCCCGAGTTTCACCATCATAATCATCATCAAGGCGGAAGTTGGCAATAAGGCTTGAGCTGCAAGACATGGACCCTTCCTCTGACTTGGCTGATGCCTCGAGATCAAGACTTTCCATCTGAAACGATGTATCAAAAATAGATTTTCAAGAGCAAGATTGGAGGTTCAGGTTGTGTCTGTAAAGATAAAACAAATGACCACATGTTGGTCTACTGATACTCTTGCCAAAAACAAACTGCTACATTACAGACACTAAGCACTGCTGCTGGGAAAGGTACCGAGGACCTTTATGCACATGTGTGTGTTGTTTCCTACAAACAGTAAGTATCAGCTGCCGGTAGTCAGTGTGGAAGTGAATTAGCACAGTGAATGTGAATCATTTTTCAACTGCCATGAATTTACAGAACTACCTGAGCAACAGTGTTGCAACAGAAGTTGCCTAATGCTTATTAATATCCAAGTGAAAACTTTAGGAAGACTCAACATGCTTCTGGTGATGATGTCATGATTATTACACACAAAAAGGAGTCATAACATGATTATAAATGAGGACACAAGTAGGCCTTCAACAAGCCAAAATGATTAGGTTATTGACTAAAAGCAGATTTTAGTAATGCATAACTCCTGTATTCCCATCTTAGAACTTACAAGGTGTGGATAAGCACTGATTCAGTACTTCCAGTCTGATGTTGGATGTGGTCATGTGTGTTCATAGAATGTATGCTGAAGCTGTTAATGAGGGAGCAAAAGCAAATAGTCAACTGAGCCAATAGTTAAACAAATTTCCTGAACATCATCATTACTGGTGATGAATGATTGGTTTATGAGTATTACCTGGAAACCTCTTTTTTCTTCTGTGTCTTAGCACTAACCAGCTGTACACTCCGGTGGAAAGTTCTGGTTGTTCATCCACTTCCAGACTTTAGTCTTGTTTTAGAACTTGATTCCTGCATGCACATTTGTTTGACAAATCTGGCTTATGTGTAAGCAGATTGTTGGTTCCTTGCCTCTCAGGCAGATGCATTCAGACTTTAAAGGAAACACTCCTAATTAGTCGACTTTTACAACATGCTTGTTGGGGGGCAGTAAGTCTATTCTTTTTCTCTCTACAACAGGGCCCCCAGAACCCAAATGGGGAACCTGAAACTCACGTGGAGACGTTCATCCTCCTCAAAGCCAAAGAAAACAAGGCAGGTGAGTTGCAACATTAAAGTTGCATTTACTGGTTTTTTTTTTTTTTTTACTTCTGTGGTGTGGCAAAACTTATATCTTAACATAGCAAAAACAAAGATAATGCATATAGATAAAACTACAATAGAGAAATAAATATGTGTTAATGAGGAAAGAATGGAGGTTGTGGACAATTCTGAATACCTTGGGTAATTGATTACCAACAACAGTGACACAATGAAAGAGATTAAACGACAACTATCAACTGCTCTTCAAAGACTAAAAACAACTGAATAAATTATGAAGTGTGATAGCCAGAACTACAAAAATTAGATTTATAAGAGCATGCATCTTTCCCTCTGCAATATACGCCGGTGAGACCTGGACACCTACTAAACAATCTAAATAGTGCATAAATGCCTCTGAATATAAATGTTATAGATGTGTTCTAAGAATATCATGGGTAAAGAAAATAACAAATGCATCCATACTTCAAGAACTGAATAGTGAAGAAGGTTGGCTATTAAAGACGAAAAAACACAGAAAATTTAAATATTTTGGTCACCTGAAACATAATGAAAGTTTGGAGAGAACAATAATGGAGGGGTATATGCCTGGGAAGAGAGAAAGAGGAAGGCAAAATAGAAGATGGGTACAGGATGTAGCAGATGATCTCCAGATGGGTGTATCGGACGCAAGACATCTTGCTTGTGATTGAGAAGTTTTTGAGAGGGTTGTTATAGGTGCAAGGTTCTGGAAATGACATGCTACTGACTGATTTTTATGATGTCTAGTGTGTTCTTCTATCTTTCTACTTAATTTCTATGAGTGCCCATCAATACATTGTCTGTTACTGACTGACTGGTCTGGTATATCATCAGTAAGCATGACTTTGGTAACGTATTACTATCGAGTACTTTCCTGAAGTCATGCATCACAAACACAACACTCTCTAGTCTGTCAAGGCCCTACATTCTCCCAGAATGGCTGCCTGCAATTGTTTGCTGTCCCCTGAATCTGAAAACATCGCTGAAATGACTGCTTGTCAGTATAGTTGCTTTTTCAGGTTCACCATTTTATATTATCAGATCTGCATGAGCTCTAGCCAGGAACCTGACTGGGCAGAATTGATGAAATATTTGTTCTTCTTGCATGTAAGAGAAACTTGTTGCTGTCATACATTTTCTAGAGTTAAATCCTATCTCAATTACACCATTCTCTGCTACTCAGAAGGTATGTATTTTTCCAGAAAGTCACCATATAATACACACAACGATGGCTATTAGCATTATATGTCCAGTACGTAATGCTTGTGTCATTGTACTAGACTGGTCTCTACATGTGTAAGTAAGGAAAGTATTGCAGGATGTCATGAGACCAAAATCAGTACTACATATGGGACAACTCTTGAACTGTTGAAATGCCTTTGTACTTACTGTGTGCATTTTCTTAGGAGACTCCATTCTGATCTGCATCAAATTTACTCATCATTTATTTACAAATTTAGATGATTTTTTTGTTTAGTACTGCATAAGATCACAAAAGGTCTTGTTTACTTACTTTCAGAAACATGCTTGAGTTAACTGGCTATCAGACATACAGCAGGATACCACAATATTTGTTTAAATTGTGGTTTGCATTTATGTTTAATTTAAGAGCTAGCATACAAATATGAGGTGGAGATGAAAATCCCTTTCCATAGTTTTCTCTATGCTTAACAATATTTAAATTTAAAAAAAGAAAATTGCTTTCTTTGAATACTTCAACAATAAATGCATTGATGGGATCAAAGACATTAACTGCACCATCTGGAAGCCCTGATACCAGCTTGCAACAAACTGAGTGACAAAGAATCTGAATTGATATCAAATAAAAAGCCAGTTTGTGTGTGTGTGTGTGTGTGTGTAAATATGTTTTAATGTTTTTTTTTTTCAATGTGATATTTTTTGTGTGTGATTTGCTATTTCCATCCAACATGGTCACATTTCCTGAACTTTTTAAGTAATTAACTTTAAAAGTTTACTAAATTAGTAATGTTATGTAAGTTATTTTTTTTTTAATCCACAACCATTGTAGCATTTTTTCATGCATCTGTCATTATTTAGAGTTTATAGAATTTTCTGTTGGAGACATTTTTACTGATCATCTCCAGCCTTCGTTCATGAATTTCACCCATGAGGCCCCATTAGCAAAGCATTGTTAGTAATTTTGTTTAAATGCACATTGAAACACAAACTGTTAAATGAGTTATATTTCTTAAACCTACAACAGTGTCACATAACCATCAGAACACCTCTCTGAGTTATGTTTGTCCACATCCTGTACACCTCTAGACAAATGATCGTTATTCAAATATGGACCTTTCCTCCATAAGTATATAGTCCTTCTTTGGTAAGTATGGGTCAGGACGTAGGTAAAGGAAACTTGTTCAATCCTAAATCTACTGGGAGTGAGTTATGTTATGAAATCACTTACAGGTAAGTGATTTCTAAGAGTAGCGAAGCCTTTTTCCAGGGCTAAACTACCGCTCTGTTATGTGGAAGGAATCCTTCCTGCCTCTAGCTCAGGGGAGTTTTGAAGTTGTTCATCATTCGAGACGCAGAGCCCGTAGTCGGCAGACATTCTAACGCCTTCACTGTCAACTTACTTTTATATCTTGTTTAAAAGTCACCATTTTACCCGGAAACTTCTAAAGAGCATGGGTAATTGTATTTTAATTAACTTAGTGAAGTCATATTTCCTTGCTGCAGTGCCTTGATGGGTGCAGCTATGGACCTCTAGATGTACACCACCTTTATGGAACTCATATTGCAGCGGTAACCCAACTGGAGAGTTTTACCTTCACTCTGAAGGAAGATGTCCCCTTATATTCATCCAGAGACCGGCAAAATAGCCTGGGATCTTGTGTACTTTTTAAAATGATTTTATTCATGTACCACAGATGTGTATACAGAAATATGAAACATTCAGGTCTGGGGTTGACCTAGATAGCCAATTAATACTTTCGCGCCTTAAGTCTTTAATGAGAGGAATAAGGTCGATCTTATTCTTGTGCTTGGCAACCGCTGTTTTCACTGGAGAAGTTTGGGGTATGACTATTCATGTTGCTAAGGTAAATCAAGGAAAAATCCTGGTCAGGTCTATTCATTTCTAAGAAGGCTGACCACTGATATCTGAGCATAAATTAAAGATGGATGGTGGCGAGGAATAGTACTAAGGCATAGTATTTAATGGTTGGTTAACCAAGGTTTCATTTTACTATATCCTCAGGATGTGGGAGCTATGATCCAGTGAACACTGATTTAATGGGACCTATGTCTGGATCAAAGTGAGAGATCCACCAGCAAAAACCACAAACCAAATCCATCATCCCTTAATACCTTTCCCAGGTAAACCCACTATCCTCTCTGCTAGTCACTTCATCAACTCTGCAAGCAGTGACAATAGATAACACGCCTTAGAAGCCAGCTGAAATTACCACCCTGGCATCCAGTGGGAGAAACCTAGGGTGTTGCCACAGCCGATAGCCATCAGTATACCCAGAAAAGTATTTGTACATGTTATTCATTAGGACACTAAGTAAAAACTGGGCAGTGATTTATTTAGATATTAGTGTGAATTGTTTCGGTAGAATTCTCCAGAAGAATTGACGTGGACTGAGGAGAGGAGCTGTTCGTTCACCTGAAATGATAAGTATAATTGACCCGAAGCACAGCCAACCGGTCAATGCATGCTATGAGTTTACTATGCCCTTATATCTTTGGTGCCATGATGACCAACAGAAGTGACTTTAAGTCAGGCCAGTAGTCATTGCTGACTAGACATTGTCAACAGACACATCAGTCCACTGGACTGTCAAACTACCAAATGCTGTGTATTGGTCTACCCGTCTTTCCAGTCCCCTTGTCAGTTCCTCTCACCCATAACACTCAGTTACCCTAATATAATACCCATGTCCATCTTGTCTACACACAACCCATCTGACCAGTAATTGTCATGTCTGCTGTTATGAGTGTTAAGTTCATAAATCAGGTCATACGGTCTCGCTGTCTCAATTACAGCAATGTTTAGTTCTAAAGGGGTTGAGAAACCAAATAGATATTACCACAAAATGCAAACAAACATTTAGTCATTTCATCCCTATATATATATAGATATATAGGCTATCCTCCGAATAACGCCCACATATTATGGGGGCCAAAAACACACCCTGACAGGGCCTCAATTAATGTAAATTGTGGACTTTCTCCTGCGAACCCATCGCAGCAAAACAAGGATTACTGTCCATTGACAATTTTGAGAAACGCAACAATACATACGATAATAGCGACATGGCAGGGAGACCGCGCGCTCAGACGAAAGTTAGTTATAGTGTCCTTCCGATTAAACTCACTGCCTAGCATATCCGTGCGGCATGGATAGGGGGCTAAACTAGATGGCTGGGATGCACGAGCAGCAGCTACCACATCTCCTGCAACTTCCTCCAATGTATTTGCTCATGAGTCCCAGCCATCTAGTTTAGCACCCTATCCGCGCCGCGATAAGCGTCGCGGAAGATACTCTCGGCGGTAAAAACCACATTACCAATGTGACACCGATCATATTTAGAAGAGTTTCAATGGCACCACAGCAACAAAGAGCAGATTTTTGGGCACTATTTGCAACTTCTGTGCCACTATTTTCAGATATAAAGGCCTCAGTTATCGCTAAGTAGTCGATTTCGTCATTTTCCCTTTTTTTCGTTCCTCATTATTTTCGAGTTCAAGTTTTTTAATGTTTACAACACACGATCTAATTAGGCCCTGTAAGGGTGTGTTTTTGGCCGCCATAATATGCGGCCGTTATTCGGAGGAAAGCCAATATATATTACTTATTGCTACTGAGCCGCAGCCTGGAATATCCATCTTTTGTCAGATCCCACTATATTTTTGTATGTCTCTGCTAAGAATTTCCTAACAGGCTTCAGTGATTTATCATCATCATCATGTGCCTTGCCGACTGGCGTGGGCGATCATGCCTCTCTATAATCTGCGATCTCCTGCAGCAAGTATCAGTTCGTGTGCCGACACACCTCCATGCCATGCAACAAGACTGTCAAGCATCTTCTCTCATTGTCTTCCTCTATCCCTCCTTCTATAGATCTTTCCAGTGGTCACAACATGTTCTATTTTCCCTCTTCTCATAACATGGCCGAAAAAATGATGACTGTCTCCTTCTGAGTAAGTTATCAGTGGTTTTAAAATGTTAATCTCTATCGAGCTGTGATGGTTCATAAATAAAAATCGTATATATATATATATATATATATATATATATATATATATATATATATATATATATATACAAAACTTCACTATCATTCCTCTATATATTTAATTTACAATTAATAATAAATATAATATATAATAATAATAATAGTTAATTATAGTATAATAGTCTTATCCTCATCGCATGCTTAGCATGGCAACATGACAAAACATACCCCATCATCATCACTTTCTTTATCGAGGCCCGTTAAAAGAGGGTCCTTAAACTTTATCTTTTCATCAGAAGATGACTTTGAGGAAACATTGTTTTCCTCGTACTTGTTATCTATATTGCTGACTATACCTTCGGTGGCAGCCATTGTTGTTGAATAGAGAGATGGCTATCACAACGGTAACGAACATGGAAAAGGTTGCTGACATTGGCATTATAATTACTCATATTTTACTTTGTACCATTCTGAAATTGTAGCGGATTTACAGAGCACACTTCGCAAAACTGTAACTGGCATCTTGCATGCAGAGTGACTTGTATGACTTGAGAAAACTCAGATCATGAGCAAATGGTGTAATTTCTATCCAGGAAATAATGATGAGCGAGGTAACGAAAAGCATGATACATTAGCTGGGGCCGCCCCTCTGGGTGATGAGCTACTTTTTAATAAGGCGGACGTGGTAAAGACCTACTGGCATCAAATGTAGAGTGCAGTAGAACAGAGAATCCATAAATAAAACATTAATTCAACGAAAATAGAATGAGTAGAGATAGGTTCTGGAAGACACTCAGCACTGAGGGAAAAACATAGGCTTTTAATTTAGCTGCCCCTGCCAATTACCGCTGCCCAGCTTATCTTTACTTTCCAGAGAACACTCACTGAGTCACTGAGAAAGCATGCCAGGTTAAAGGTCTATGTCATTCATCATCATCATCATGTAGTAGGTCCTTTGCAAAAACGTCGCTCTCATCACAGTCTGCCTGAAAGAAACTCGGTCTCTCGCCAGCTCTCCCGCCTCATGTACTTTCATACTCAACGAGTCACTTATATCCTGTGCCCATCTTCGTGTCGGTTCCTGCCCTTCCTTCCTGGTACCATGCCTTCTGCTATAATTGTTTTCAAATCCGTCGTGGCGCTTGATATGACCAAAATATTTCAGCTTCCGAGACAGGATGTTGTTTATTGGCCAATCTTCCTTGATGTTCAGATCTTTTAAGATTTCAGTAGTTATACTCTTCTTTGTCCAAGATATTCTGAGAATCTCTCTATTGCATTTCAGCTCAAAAGCCCCTATTCTCTTTCTTAAGGACTGAGAGATAGTCCACGACTCACATCAGTATGTTGCCACAGGGAAGATGCATGCTCTCAAAATTCTAATTTTGATCTCCTTGCTGGTGCTTAACCATTGACTTTTAAGGCTGTTTAGTCTTTGGATTGCTACGGCCATCCTCGTTTAAATTTCTTTCTAACAGTCTCCGTTGCTCTTTATTATAGAGTCTAGATATTCAAAGTTTGTGACATTTTAATTTCTTCATCATTTATTGTTATTTTTGGGTGACAGCCAGTTTTATCTGTGGACATTATTTTTGTTTCCTTTAAATTCAAGAACGGTTTTGATCTTCACTGTGCTTTTGGACAGACGATATTAAGTTTTCTATTTCCTTTACGCTTTTCGGAAGGAGGACTGTTCTTCTTCTTCTTCGAGACTGTGTCATCTGCGTAGCGAAGTTCCGGAATAGGGTTGCCACAAATTTTCAGCGGATCATAACTGTCACAAGTCTGGTCATTTTTGACATTTCTCGTTATATTTTCTGAGTATAAAAGTAGTGTATAAGTCGTTTACGACGCGTATTTCGATTAAGCCACCTTCTTCATTCTTAGTAAAAGATGGCGGCCAAAAGTGATTGGTCTGTTCGTGTGGCTTTATATATCCTTAGTAAATATCGATCGGGACAGCCACCCTCTTTGTCCTTAGTAAATATCGATCGTGTGGCTGATGGCAACACAAGTGATTGGTTTTAGGTAAAGGTATAGGAAATCTTCATAAACTGCAGGGGGACAGGTGGCGTTTATATAAAACGGGGGCAGGCAGGAACACTATTTAGGTGAGCAGCGGGGGCAGGGGACCCGGAGCGACTAGGAAGGCGGCATGATGACCGGGGATGTATCAGAAAGGGCAGATTGGGCGCGTTGTCTCCATAGCAACTGGTTATTCATTGTCGGTATGTGGGTATTTTCTTTATTAGTTTCATAACGGCAGGTGACAGGTGGCGTTATACTGGTTATTCATTGTCGGTATGTTGGGGTGTGGGTATTTTAGGCGGAGTGGTTTAAGGAAGAAAATTATTTCTTTAGTGCTTCATAACTGCAGGTGACAGGTGGCGTTATATAAAACGGGGGCAGGCAGGAACACTATTTAGGTGAGCAGCGGGGGCAGGGGACCCGGGGCGACTAGGAAGGCGGCATGATGACCGGGGATGTATCAGAAAGGGCAGATTGGGCGCGTTGT